TTTTTTTTTTTTTTTTTTTTTTTTTTTTTTTTTTTGTTCTTTTTGTATTTTCATTTGGACAATGGAAAATCTGAAACCAAATTAACAGTTTCCCAATTGTGTTCTTAGGGCTGCTATGTTTAGGGCTTTCGTGTCCTGCAGGACAATGTCTTAATTTAAGTTTGCTTCACTGTCCCTGGAGCAGTTGATGATTTTATTTTGGGACAGTTGTTTAATGTGGAAACAGATAYTTTGGTTTTAGAGTTTATAAATTCTTTTTCCAGTTTCAATCTTTTTGCCAAWGTTGAATGTCCTTCACATGTTCTCTCCTTAGAGCACTGAGTAAAGAGTAAGCAGAACTAATCCAAGCTAAATAAAGAAGATTAATAGCTAAAGACATTAATAGCAATTTTTTATTGAAAATACACCAAGTATGTCTCCTGTTCAGTTGTAGGTAGATACATTCTGTATATAAAGTATATTTTTGCATAGACTGGAACCTAGGTAGGCACCACTATTGTCAGCTTAATGCCAGTGTTGCTTTGTAGGCAGCAAATGCAAGAATTGAAGCTTCACCTTTCACTGGACTCCAGCACTGAATTATTTACAAAGGAGCTGACTAAAGCTGAATGGGCTGCTCCAGCTTTGAGGCTTCCTCCAGAATTTAAGAGATAACATYACCCAAGCTGAACAATACCACCAACTTTCAGAAACTTTCATATTTTTCGTGTTGCAGGAAAGAAAAAATCCAAATTTCAGACTTTCAAGAACTTCTTTGCCAAGAAGAAAAGGAAAGAGCCTCCAGCTCCCAGGGGAGAGAGTAATTTAAAACCTTGCCAGTCCAGCAGTGATGTCAGCATTGCTGTGCTCGACACCAGTGCACTTCATTCACCGAAGGAGGCTGGGTAAGCTGGCGGGGAAGGAAAATAAATAACAGCAGACCTCTCACAGCAGCAGGATGAAAGCATGAGTTGGCCCCTTAGGAGCAACCTCTGTCCAAGTTTGTGCAAAACAAGCCCTAATGCTGATGAAGGAATTCCAGGAATTTCCTCTTTCTTTGCTAGAGCTTGGAAAGTCAGCCTGGAGAAGAGGGGGAGGGCAGCTGAGGGCAGGGGTGATCCAACCTCTAAGTCTGAAACTGCAGAGAGCCCAGATTGCTTTGATTGGTTTTAAATCTCTCTAGGAAGGTCTGATCAATGTTACAAGAGGATGATGACTGAGCACTGGAGGTGACACTGGCAGAGGGAGAGAATAGTGACAGGAGTGGCACTGCTGCCACGTGCTTTATGTCATCAAACTGGGCATTTGGTGGAGCTGGGATCTGCGTTTCTTTGGTGGAAACCTTGTAGATGTGACTTTCTCATGGGTGCTTGTTCCCCCTTTCCCCACTCACTCTGTGTTGTGGAAATTGTTTGGGAACTAAACAACAATCTGGWTATTTTGTTTGTTAGCATAACAGCAGCAGAGTAAGTGACCACACAACCAGTCTCCTGGGGCAAGGGGAATTAGAGTCAACCCAGTCCAAAAAGTTTTGAAACATCTGAGCTTACCCCATCAGCCCATAGGAGGGATCTGGCTTAAAATGAGCTGTCTGCTCCAGAGACACCGTGGGTGAGAACTCTTTCTCTTGCTCTTACCCGAGTATTTGAAGTCCAACTGCTGTTTACCTCAGTGCTATCCCCCAGTGATTATGAACTGTTTTGCAAGATCAGAGATCGGGAAGTGAGTAAAACCCTTCTGGTTTTTTCCCTTAGAGATAGGATTAGAGGAACTATCCAAAAAACTTAGGGATATTCTTGTGCTACTTGKAAACCCTGTCATGTACAGACTCTGCATGGCACACACTTTATAAGTGCCTAAAGAGACTGAACTACATAATCCTTTAGAAAACCTGATCCTGAAAGCCAGTGGAAACACAGCTTGTGAAGGGTTTATAGCAGGACCCTGAGCTTTGCAATTTCTGGCATGCAGAATATAAAAACCAATTCTAGACCAATGCTGCTGTTTGCTTGTTCTTCAGACAGGAGCACTGGGCTTCTTTTTCTTCTCTTTTTCTTCTCTTTTTCTTCTCTTTTTCTTCTCTTTTTCTTCTCTTTTTCTTCTCTTTTTCTTCTCTTTTTCTTCTCTTTTT